GTCCAGGCTACTGATATTTGCTGATCAGGTATAAGTAGGTATAAGTTTTGGGTATAAGTTTATATAGGCACTGACCACAAAACAATAGCCAACTGGCAGAGGGTGAAAAGCCAGTAACATATAGCTTCTGAAAAACCAGAGTACACAATCAGATGGCAACTTCTGCCAAAAGAAAGAAGCGAGAAAGAGAAAAAGAGACAGCAAGTCATTTCCACCCACCTGTGGGAGCCACCTCTGAGTAAATAAGAAAATATTTTAGTGATGGCTCCTTGGGTGACAGCATCTGCTCAGGGAGTTGACTCAGAGAGCCTCAGAAGCTCAGAGTTCCAGCCAGCAGCAGAAAGGACTCTTGGCAGAGCTGCTTCCTGTACCTCTTTTGATCATAGGACTCGGGCTTGGAAAGGTTTTCACCAGTCTTGTGGTTTCCTGGTCGTGCGTCAGTACATTCTGGCTGAAACACTTCACTTCCTTCAGGCCAGCCCCTCCACCAATGGCTCATGGCTCCACAGTTCACTCTCTCCAGCTTTGAACTAGACTCCAAGGACACTGCTGGCTGCAGCAAGAACCTTGAACAAGAGACTTGCAGCTGGGATGCTAGCTCTCTTCTCCTTGTGACAGGGATCCTAAGTGGAAAAAAATAGGTTTAATGGAGTCTCGCTAAAAGTCCATTGAGGCATAGAATATTACGTGTGGTTCCCACAATCTCTTTTCAAAGATAGTCTGCAATAGAATCACTTGGGCAACTGGTTAAAATACAGAGATTCCCAGTCTAGTCTCAGACCTAAATCAGAATTTCTGAGTGGGGACTGGGAGTCTGTGTTTTTAAGAATCTCCTTCACGATTCTGACATATAGTCACTGTCTAGTATAATATATCCAATATATCAAATTTCATAAATTAGGAAACTCAGGCCCAGGAAAATTGAGTAACTTTGCTAAAGTAAAACATATCCTAACTATGCAGTGTTCCTGTGACCTGAAGGTTTCTCTCCAAAGAGGAACGATTATGCTTACACAGGGGCCCTTTTCAAATCCCACTACTCCCAACTCAGGTAGGATTAGAAAAATGTGTAAAGTCAGAACAGCCATCAGAAAAGGCAGCGCTTTTGCTCATCTGTCTTCAGCAAGCTTTACATCATGGGACCTGAGACACTGGCAGTTTGGATAGATCACATAAACAATACAAGAATTCCTCAGACACTTAGTGAGTGATGACTACATACAGTCATTTGAAAATTTCAGCGATATTTATAGAACAAGGTTTCTGTTGGGTGATTTGGGGGAGTGGTGCAGCATAGGAAGAGTTGAACAGAAGACCAAAGAATTTCCCAAAGAAAATGGATAATTTTCCTCTTGAAACTGAATGATATTAGAAACACTAAATTTTGCAATGGCTCAGAACCATCATAAACTGAAAATAGCATCAGGAATAATTTATGCTTTTATCATTCATACATTTACTGATAAGCATTTAGATTGTGCCAGGGATCATAGATTATCTCAGGGATGTCATAATGCCATGTGATTAAGTACTTATGGGTAAATGCATGGAAGATATGATTTTGAAAGAATGCAAGAATAAAACTGTGGTTGCTAATACAACTTCTGGAGTCAGAAGTATATGAATCAAAATCCCAGATCTACCACTGACTAGTTGTGTGGCCTTGAGGAAGTTCCTTAACTTCTTTGAGACTTAATTTCATCTATAAAATGAAGTTTGACAGGGCTCCTAGGAATATTAAAACATGGCAGGGGGAAGGGAAATGAGGGGGTGCTGAGGTTATTGCAGAAAACAAAAGGCAAAGGGAAGAATGCAAGTGAACCAAGATTATCCAAGAATATATCTAGACTAATAAGACTAAAAGAGTAATACACTAAAAATATTTGTATGATAATTAATTTAAAATCTCAAGCTCAGTTTTGTCGCCAAATCCCCAGAGTCCTGTGCCCACAGACAAATTCTACCCAATCCTAGGAGTATATAAAAATTATCGAACATGGTTAGAATATGTGCATTGGATCAGCTTCATGAAATTAAGAATTTTTATTTGTTTCGTTCACTCCTATGCCCAGTGTTTAGTTGTGGAACGAATAGATGTGTTGGTGGGATCTAAGGAGGGCCCAAAGCCTTGATACTTCAATCAGGAAGGAGGCTGGTGAATATATAATGAATATGCAAATTCCTCTGTGCCTGCTCGGTGATGGTCTACCCTGTGTGCAGCTATGCCGATTCTGTAAGCCATGACCACCAAAGAAGGAAAGAAGTTGCCCTGTTCTATTACCGAAATGCCTTCACCTCTACATTGATACCAGTGAAGCTGGGGAACAATCGCCTAGCAAGAAGTTCTGATATTAGTAATAAAATGCCCAATAAATAGAAGATATTATTGTTATTATTTCCAATTAGATGACATGTCGAGAAAGCCAAAAGGTTGCCCTGAACATTTTCAAAACATTGCTGCAATGTAATGGAGACTTGGCAGATAGGTATCAGAAGTACACAGCAATTTAATAAACCCTCCTTGTGTCAGAACTGAAGTTCAAAACCATTACATTTTAGAAAGAAGGAGGAAGGACACAGAGAGAGAGAGAGAGGGAGGAAAGGAGGAAAGAGAGAAGAAAGGAAGGAGAAAGGGGAAAGAGGGAAAGGGAGGGACGGAAGGAGACGGAGGGAGGGAAAGAAAATCAACAAAGAGAGCATAGGATCATATTCTTAAACCAAATTCTACGTAAACTGAAACCTGCAGATATTTTCTAGCTTATTTTCTCTTAAAATATCCTTAGCATAACGAGTCAAGTTAGTAACTATAAAATGAGTCAAACTATCACAAAGAACAAGAGCAGTTCCCACTTCAGAGTTCTCTGCCATGTGTGCCCAGAGCCTGGTCAGCGGGAGTGATAATGGCAGGCTGGTTATCAGCTCAGCTTGGGGTCAGAGATGATGGTTTTGCACCTCACTGATTCTGTGACTTCAAACAAGCCACTTATCGTGACTGCGCCAGGTTTTGTTTTTGTTTTTGTTTTTGTTTTTCTGCAAAAGAGAGTTAAGAATAACACCCACCTCGCAAGAGGTCTGTAAAGCCTGATCCAGAATGTGGTACTGAAGGCTCAACAAATAGCAACTACCACTTTCATCATCACCATTGTTTGTATGACTGAGGTATTGAAATATCTTAAATTTATCATTTGAAAATGTGTTGGCTGCTTTAGTGTGAAAAACAGAGCTGGAAAATATGTTCATTGCTGAGCCCCCTGGGAAAAAGCTCTGGAAGCTCTATTCCCCTGCAGCAGTTGGCATGGTTATATTTAGATTTTATATACATATATATAGCCTTATGCTCACAGATTGCATAAAACTTTTGTTATCCTTTGCAGTCAACCTTCTGATTACACAGAATAAATTTTACCTTTCGCTGATGGAGCAACGGAAGTAAAGCAAATCAAATACTTGGCCTTGGATCATAAGATGAGCCATAATTATCATAATTTCCTCAAATCTCAGTCCTTGGTTCAGCCAAACGAACTAGGGTTTCCATGAGGTTTAACAGCGAGTCAACCCTGGAGACATTCTGGACAAATTTAAAACAATCTAAATGTACTTTGTGTTTCTTATTTTGTACAAAAGAGTGACCTGAAACAGAATAGGGAATGCAAGGCAGAGTTCTGAAGGAAGGAAGGAGTGTTTTAGGTTCTGCTGTAAAAACAAAGTAGACTTGATTCACGAGCTATAAAAAGATTATTCTGCCAACACAGAACCAAAAGAGTGAGGTTAGTTTCAGAGAAAAATGATGAACATAATCTGTGTGGTCACTAAGGTGTTTGCATGGAGACCTAAAATTTTTAAAATAAAATAAGAAGTATTGAGTCAAATTCTGAGAGACTGAAGAATAGACTAGAAAGAACACAAAAGTGAGAGTAAGGAGACCTGGCCCTGTCCATCAGTAATGACACTGCTTTATGGAAATCTCATAAATCATTCAAATGCAGATCTCTCACCTAACCCTACAGAAGGGTGAGAAGGACACAACAAAATTGTCTTTTTAAAAAGTGTTTTGAAAACCTCTTCCACTCAAAAACTGTTAAAATGTGGCTCTAAATCCCATTATTTTAAACCACAAATAGGTGTTTATTAACCACTGGGTATTAGATATTATAAAGGATACAAAACATGGATTCTATGCTTAGAAAATTTAGAGGGTAAAACATAAAAAGATACAATTATATAAAGATAAATCAAGACATAATTTGCTAAATTACCAAAAGATTTCTATAGAAGACTGCTGTAGAAATTCATTCATATCGATGAGAAAATGCTGAAAGCTACAACAGTCAAGGAAAGCAAAATAAAAGTTGGATTGGAGATCAGACATGAAGGATTAAAATTGTTAAAATGGAAGTGTAGGTTTTTTTATATTATACTGAAGAATTAAGAATTTATCTATGGACACTGGGGAATATCTAAAAATTTGTGTTTAGTGATGAATATTTATAAAGACTCATCTAGCAAAAGTGGTTTGGAAGGAGGGTGTAAGCAAGGAGACTCATGATACTTGGGGTAGTTCAAATATAATAACAAGGATCTGAAATACAGTGATGGCTGGGAGAATTGAAATGAAACAAAGTTTGCGAGAGATCTTTTGAGAGATTTCTTGGGTAAAAAAAAAATCTGCAAAGTCTGACAATTGATCAGGAGAAAGTAAAGATTGGGACAAATGAGTGCCTGCGGTTTTAAGCCTAAGTTTAGGAAAAGGTGGTACCATACATAGACCCAGGGTATCAAAAAGAGAATGTTTTGGAAACATTTGAGGGAAAATGTTTCAAGTGCTTAAAGAGTGGTTACAGCTCTAGAAATTAGTACTGGCAGGTATGCTCAGAGACATCACAAGAAATCAGGGGTAGGCTAGAGAAAATCAGAGATAAGGAACCAAAAAATTTAGGGCCATATTAAGCAAATCCCAATGGTCTGTAAATATGTTATGTACCTTGCAGATGAGGCATCATCCACAGTGACAAAAGCAGCATATCTTCACATGCCCTCAGAGAAATGAATAGCACAATTTGCTCAGATGGTACCAAAACCCAGGTGCCCTAACGTCTTCCAAAATGTGTGTCAACAGGAAAACTTCTGTTACAGTATGTCCTAAGAATGGTGACTTACTACTTTACTAATAACAAAAACCTTAATAATTGTGGTAGGCAGAATAATGGTCCCTCAACTATCTACGTCCCTAACCCTTGACACTTAGGAATATGTTACCTAACATGGCAAAAGGAGCTTTGCAGAGGTAATAAAGTTAAGAATTTTGAGATGGGGAGATTATCTTGGATTATCACATGGCCTCAGTGTCCTCACTGGGTCCTTTCTTTGGTGAAAGGTGGGGGGCAAGAGAGTCAGAGTCAGAAATAGATTTGGAGACATTATGCTTCTGACTTTGAAGTTGGAGAAAGTGGCCATGAGCCAAGGAATGCAGGCGACCTCTAAAAAGCTCGAAAAAGCAAAGAAGCAGATTCTCCCTTCAAGTCTCTAAAAGGAATGTAGCCCTGTCAACAAACTGACATGAGCCCCATGAGACTCTTGCTGGACTTCTGACCTACAAAACTTTAAGATAATAAATTTGTGTTTT